ATATATATATATGTTAAGAAATTTTAAGGCATCCCGCTATACGCATTTGATTGCTGTAGACTGTGTTTTTTTTATATATAAAAGAGGTAAACAGTAGGTTTGATTTTGTATACAATTTAATCTGAACAGTGTTGTATTGTTTGTGTGTGACACGAAAATAAAGAGTAATAAAGTGTCTAATCAAACCTACTATTGAACCTATTAGTTTTATTTTAATATTATTATAATTGGGACCGAACTATCCACTCTCAAAACAAATAGTGATGAAACTGTTTGTTTACATGCTAGAATTCTAAATCCAGGGCGCCGGTTCTTTGACTTCTATTCATAGGAACCACCCGACAAATTCCATGAGGAGACACTGACAGCCAGTGGTGCCTCGAGGATGTAGTGGTAACGAAGCTGTCCGACAATCTCCAGCAGGTGGCAGCGGGGCCCAGGGATGCTCCGATGGCCTGGGGAATGTGGAACGAGACATTTTTGGAACATTTTCTGAGCTGTTCAGAAACGGGACTCCGATTTTACCTATAAACAAACTGTCAACTACTACTGGCCTCTGCGCATATCCTAAATGAAAATAATTTTCCCTTTGCTAGCACTGTATGAGACCAGGTTGATTTTTCCTACGCATCAAACATAATTTGCCATCCGGTCAAGACTATTAAATTGCAGTTATGATGAAGAAATCGAAGTATAGATAATTACGTTCTATACACTAATGTTTTGCTCACACTGTTGCTAGGTAATATTGAAACGCAAACATCGTTGATAGCGAAATAAATGAGCAAATTATAGCTGTAAGGGTTCGTCTTGAATAGTACAGGAGTTATAAGAAGAAACAGCAAGAGTAATAGGCATTGCTCGTTTCCCTCAAAATATGATACGGAGTGGGTAATACTACCGAAGTCATGGCGATTTGTGAGTTCAAATGTTACGGGAATGCCTTCCCTTCCCTCGCGTATCGGATCTCTGGGCCAAAATTCCTACTCAATTCGAAATGAGGATGTAATTCGTGCAATCAGTGCCGCAGTGGCGTATCTAGAAGTCTTGGAATAGGGGTGCTGATGAGGGGCGCGAATTGTTGGTTGAGTGACGCTAATTCGCAAAATAAGGTAATTTTAGGTGATTTTTCACTACTTAACCATGATTTGGGGGGGACGCTAATTCGCAAAATAAGGTAATTTTAGGTGATTTTTCACTACTTAACCATGATTTGGGGGGGGGGGGGCGTGTGTAATATTTGGAGGGTCGTGTGCCCACAACTAAGCGTACCTCCTAGATACGCCACTGCAGTGCCGTCCTTAGTCTGAGGCAAACATACCTTAAAGCCCCATTCCAGGCAAAATTTCACAAAAACAGATTTTTTTTTTATAGAAAAGATGCATATGCATTAGGCCTACTCTAATTATTAAAAATCATGGAAAAATATTGGCATAAATTTTAGTTTTACTCAAAAGAGTAAAAAAAAAGAGAAATACAAACTATTTCTCATAGAATATTACCATTTTCTCGTCGAATTCTTCGTTACTAGGCAAATTTAGAGGTTGTAGATCTCTCGCTTTTATGTATACTTTATATAGTCAATAAAGTTCGCCCTCTCTAATGGGATTAATTTTTGTACTTCGCATCTCGCCCAATGTGGACGTTCAAGTAGGCCTGAGTTATGTTTGTTTAAATCTATATTTATTACTTTACAAAAAAGCCAGGAGCAATGGAATGTAACTTGCATAGGACAATAAGCATAATGAGTCAACTTACCAAAGTACTTCTACGAATTATTATGAATAGAAATAGAAACTGCATGAGAAGAGAAATTGGAGTGGAACGTGGTTTATTGAGGGATACTGGAACAAGCAATGCTATCCTCATGTTATGAAGTCTATCAGAGAGAGCAATCCAGGTGCAGAGGGGTGTATTTATTTGTTTTATTGACTGCTCAAAGGCTTTTGATAATGTACAACACAACAAACTTTTTGAGATGCTTCAACAAATAGAAAGAGATGGAAAAGACCTAAGAATATTAAGAAATCTATACTGGAACCAATCTTCATCAATACGAGTGGGTGATGAAATCGGAGAATATGTCACAATACAACGAGGTGTAAGACAGGGATGTGTCTTCTCCCCAGATCTATTCAATCTCTATACCGAAATCATTATCCGAGAGATAGAAGATCTACCAGGGTTTGTTGTAGGTGGCCATAACATCAATAATCTTCGCTATGCTGATGATACGGTACGGTATTCATTGCCAGCTCAGAAGAAGATTTACAGAGATTACTGACAAATTGGTTGAAGCGAGTGAACAAAAAGGACTGAAAATAAACTTAATAAAGACGGGAAATATGTCAATTTCTAAGAAGTCAAAGCCACCTATTTGCTCTATTCGAATTACAGATAACATAATTAGGCAAACAAATAAACGGTACCTTGGCAGCTGGATAACATCTGATGGCCGTAGAAGACAGAAATGCAAAATTGGTATGGCGAAACAGGCCCGTAGCCAGGTCATTTCAAGGGGGGGTTCTCTGGGCGTGGGGTCCAGA